GGACCTGAGTGGGACCTGGGACCTCCAATGAAACAGGAGGGCAGGAGAGGCACACTGTCCCTCTCTCCTCTGAGAGGATGCACTCTCTTTCTCCCTTGAGAGGATCCCTTTTCCTTTCTCTTCTAATGAACTCCTGCTGTTACTCTGTGTGACTCACTTTCATGAATTCTTCATGGAAGATTGCAAGAACCAGTGGATGCAGACCCCCATGGTCACTGAGGTGGATCTCACTCTGTAACATTAATCAGTGTCCCAACAGATTGGTAAAGGCTGTAAATTCAACTTACGCTATAATCGTGCAGCCCACATACTTAAATTGTATTTGTCATTTTCAGGAATACTGACCTGCAGCTATAAGAAATATAATTCTTATATATTTTTTTTAAATAAATAACTTAACACTACCATGGGAGCTTATTTCTAGGTGAGCTCTGCAGTTATTTGACGGTGACTCCTGTTTGAGGGTTCTTTCCCGGGACCACTTCTGGTAGGCATAGAGATGTCACTCGGGGCCTAGTTAGGTAACACGCACAGCTTAATAGAAAGAAGTATCAACTTAGTAAGCAACTGTAGAGACAGTCACCACCACTAAGATTAGAACAAAGGGAAAGTTGACATTTTTAAAACTTGAAAGCCCATAGGAGGGGTCCTTGGGGCTGAAACACACCTTCGCAGGAGTCTGCTACTTGGCCTATGGGAGTGTTTTTGAACTTGGAGTAGGGACCCTTTGGGGCTGGGGCAGCCCATTTGGAGCGGACCTGACTGTTAGCATCCCCTCAGCAGTCTGTGAGCCCCAGAATCTCTCAGACCCTGTAGCCACTCCCTACCAGGTCACCCAGTACTTGTGCAATACAGAGATAGTGAAGGTCTAAGCTTTTGGTGCCACCTCTCCGTGGCTCCTCCCTCTTTTGTGTCTTACACCCCCCAAATCTCAGTTCCCCAGCCAAAACTCTGATGCCCCTGTAAAGACAGACCCTGAGGACCACTTGCCCACCTCCCTGCACTGTGGCCTAGAAGGCATCCCCAGGGGTGACCCCAAGGAAATGTGGCCCCATCCTCCCTCTCAGGGACCACTGCCCTGTGTTGGAACACTGTCCAGTGCCTGCCCATGTAGAGTTATTCATTTTATCCAATTTCACAGTTGTTAATGGCAGGGGGGAAAGTCCCCTGTCATTCTTTTTTGGCTGCTCAGCAGCTGAATTCCTGTCTTCCCCATCTGCATCTTGCCATATCCCTCGTACACTGCATGGAAGCAAAATCTGTCCCTTGATAATCCCTGCCCATCACTCAGGGGCCTTTCCGCTGGAAACACACCTCTCCCCCTGTTCTGGAGTGGCCCATGGGAGGCCTGAAGACGTGGATTTTTATGGCCTCTCAGCCTGGAGCAGGGCCTTCTGTGAGTGGCCTGTCTGTTCAGCTTAAGATTCAAATGCATGGCCTGTTCATGGAGAGGCCGCTCACTTGAACTCCTGTCCTCTTCCTCTTGGAAGCTCCCCAAGGACAGGGATAAAAGGCTCCCGCCATTTCTCTCCATGCAAAACTGGAGAAATGAATGGAGACATTCACTTTTGCTTCAGAAGCTACAGGGTGTGCACGCATCTAAGTGGGGCTCTAACTCGTTTTCTCTGGGTCCTTTGTATCCAGACCATAAGCAGAGGAGGTGGAAGTCACACCCTCCATGCAGAGTAGCCTCCACCCCCTACCCCTGCCCCGCCCCCATGCCTGGATCTTACCACCTGCCAGACAATAGGGCACCTCAACCCACTTCCCTGCTGGGAGAATTGTCCCTTCTGTTTCCCATCATCCTGCAGGGCACCGCAGGTGTGGCCCACAGTGTTAATAGGTACCTTGGGATTCGGGGAGGAAAAGAACTATCTGATGGCAATAGGTTTGTGGGTGATTTAAAAAAGAAACCAGACACTGCAGATCTGCCTTCAAAGCTTTGGAATGTTTTCTCCACCCAGATACTCAGACTTTGATGCCCCAGGCTTAGTGTTGGAAAATGAGTCTTGCTTTAATTCTCAGCGCCATTATGCAAACATAATGTTCTCCCTACCATTTAAAAGGAATGTAGATGGTATGTAAATGTACCGCTGTGGGATTGTATATTCCAACTCGCATTAAGCATACATTAATTTCTTAATAATAACATCATTCAGTTACTGCTCCCTCAATATTTGCATAAAAAGGGGGCCAATCATTGCTCTATGCATTTGCCACGTTCTGTCTGGTCTATTTCTCAGGTCGGGCTTTGTACTATGGGAATGGTGGTTTAGTTTGAGGAGACTAAAAATCATCTCGCTCAGCTCCTAAGGGTTTGACCCCCTTTCCATGCTTCTAGCCAAGACATCCTTGAACTTTTCCATTGACAGGGAGCTCACTACCTATGGAGCCACCTATTTTCTCTTTGGACAATCATGAATCATTTTCAAGTTTGAACATACCAGGTAGGATGTCCCTGAAATACAGTGTAGGATTTATCTTTTTGTTTCCCAGTCCTGCTCTGTTCCGCTAACATTATAAGTGTTTCCTTTACATCATTAAACCATCTTAAAATTCTTTGCATATAAACACATTCACATATGTAAAAATATGCTACCACACTAGATGTACACTTTACAATTGCCATTTCACTAAATGATATGCTATAGACATCTTTTTATTCCAACTAACCTACCTCTCCTTCCTCTCCTTCCTTAATGCCTGCATAATCCATAGTTTATTTAATCATTGCCTGCCAGTGCGCGGGTAGGTTGTTTCAACTTTT